ATAGTTAGCACCATTGGAAATAAATATGATAAGTTGAAAGAACAGTGTGTAAGGTAAATTTTAATTACGCTTGGCCAGTGTAATTATAAATTTACAGGTACATATCTGAACTTGAATACTTTATTATATTTGGGAATGTGAATACGTGAATATTAATATTGAATTCTTCAGAAGTCTAACCGAACAAGAAGGCCTGAAAGAATAGCTCACCAAGAATCTGAAGAAAGGGAGGAATCTTTGGTTAATTTTCCAACTAGTACGGCTGGAAATAGAGGTCGAGGAAGACCAAGAGGAAGAGGAAGAGGAAGAGGAAGGAGTCAGTCACAAGGAAGAGGACGGACTGAAGTATACTCTGAACAGGAAGAATCCCACTCTGGGAATGTTCAGGAAGGAACAGTACCACACCCAGAGTATATAACCAGAAATGTATTGGCAGAAGAAATGGGAAGGTTAGGAGAAACTTTGATATCAATTATGAAGATACCTGCCAGAGTTGAAACAGAAAGAGTAGAGGTTTACCCATCTGCTCCAATCACTCAGAATAGAGAAGGTGATATTAAGACTTTCTTAGCGTGTAAACCACCAACCTTCTCTGGAGAAAGAGATCCGGTAAAAGCGATGTGCTGGATCAAAGAAATGGAATCTGTATTTAACACTATCCGATGCCCATAAACAGATAAGGTACGATTTGCTGTTTCATTGTTGAAATCAAATGCTTTGTTCTGGTGGGAAGTGGAATCGTCTACCAGGACTGATGTGTTACAAAGTATGTCATGGATAGAATTTGTGGATCGATTTAAGAATCAATTCTGTCCTAAAACTGCTGTTAGACAAATGGAAGAAGATTTCTTGAAATTGGAGCAAGGGAATAAGACTGTACGGGAGTATACGGAGAAATTTATTGAATACTCTCGTTTTGCTGATCATTACGTTTCAACCGAGTCAAGGAAGATAGAAAGGTTTATTTGGGGTTTGAAGCCCTCAATCAGGGAATTTGTTATTGCAATGAACCCCAATATCTTTCCACTGATAGTAGAGGCGGCAGAGGTGACGGAAAGAAATAAGAATAGACAGTCTGAAGGGAAAGTTTTTGAGAAAAGGAAATGGGAAGGACCTTCAACTTTTCGAGGATCCAAGACTGTAAAATATAATAACAGATTTGAACAGAGGAACAAAGAGAAAGTTCATCAAGATGAAGGTAAGATGGATCCGAGGAAATGTTATAAATGTGGTGAAGCGGACCATTTGTCCATAAATTGTCCGACCAACAAAAGATGTTTTAATTGCAACTCTCCAGATCATATTCGACCGAATTGTCCCTTGTTAAGAAATCCTCAAATAACAATGGGAGGTAATGTATCGAATACTCGGGAAAGACCTACTGGAAGTCAAAAAGGACAAGGAGGGGCGCGGGGACGGTCCTTCCAAATGACTAAGAATGAGGCGGAAGCATTACCTGATGTGGTAACAGGTACATTTCTCATAAACTCCTTACATGCTAAAGTGTTGTTTGACTCGAGTGCAAACTTCTCATTTGTATCCCCATCGTTTGCCTTATATGCTCGTATGAATTTTGTGCCACTTGACGATAAATTAGTAGTTGATACTGCTAACGGTCAAGAATCTGTTAGTTACATGTTTAAAAATTGTACTATCATGGTTGAGGATTGTGAGCTACCTATCCGATTGTTTCCTATGCCTATGAAGGAATTTGATGTGGTAGTAGGAATGGATTGGTTGGCAGAAAATAAGGCTAGCATCGTTTGTAATGAAAAGATGATTAGAATTGTGTTATCTGATAAAAGAACAGTTATAATTCACGGTGA